TCATGTTGCAGGTGACTGCGACTGTGTCTTTGACCATGCGCAGTACCAGCACCTCCCTTGTCTCATAATATTACCCCTCTCCCTGCTCATGGGGAAGGAGACTTAAAGCCCCCACCTCTCAGTTGCCGCTTGATTCATAAGAGGCCTTGGGCTCCACCAGGAGAACAGAGATTTGGAGATCTCACGGGAATCTTTAATTCTATAGAGGTAAAGTAAGAGGAGAGGAGAGAACTGGCATCACAGAACCCCACGGTTTGAAAGTGTGCTTCTAGAACTTTCCCACCACCACCTCGGCCTCAGTCTCCTTATCTGTTAAGTGGACAGTAAAAAACCATGTCTGTAAAATATTTTCCACATGGTAAAAAAGTGTTTAACTGAGGCCAGGTGAGGTGGCGTACACCTTTAATCCCAGCACTCCAGAGGGGGAGGCGGATCCCTGTGAGTTCAAGGCCAGCCTGGTCTACATAGTGAGTTCCAGGCCAGCTGGGACTACAGGGAGACCCTGTCTCAAAAAGACAAAAAATAAAAAACAAAAACAAAAAAAAATTGTTAAACTAATGTTGCCTACCGATAACAAGTCAAAACCAACTGGTTAGTGTACTGTGAGTGCTAACGGCTGGGCATGGTGGCACATGCATCTGTAGTCTGTAGTTCCCACTGCTTGGGAGGCTGAGGCAGGAAGAAGGAAGAGCCCTTGAGCCTTGAGCCCCAGAGTTCCAGGTTGTTTTTTTTGACAGGGTCTCTAGGCCACACTGGCCTCAAACTCCAAATATAGCAGAATGATCTTCCTGCTTCCGGCTCCCAGGGCTGGCATAACAGTTATCTTCTACCATGCACTGTTTATGTGACATTAAGGACAAGCCCAGGGCCTTGTGTATGCTAAGGATTCTACCAGCTGAGCTACATCCCCAGCTCCTTTTGGTTTGGCTTTTAGAGATAGGGTTTTGCATGTAGTCCTGACTGGCCTTGAACTTGCTGTGTAGCTCAGACTGCTTTCCAACTCATGGCAATCCTGCTACCTCAGCCTCTCGATTTGAGACCAGCCTGGACAATGTGGCTAGACACTCAAAAAAAAAGGTGGTGGGGGGGGAGGAGCTGGGTGTAGTGGCGCACGCCTTTAATCTCAGCACTCGGGAGGCAGAGGCAGGCGGTTCTCTGTGAGTTTGAGGCCAGCCTGGTCTACATAGTGAGTTATAGGCCTGCTGGGAGACCCTGCCTCAAAAAGACAAAAAAAAAACCCCAAAAAATGGAAGGAAGGAAGGAAGACAGGAAGGCAGGAAGTGATGGGAAAGGGGAGGGGAGGAGAGGAAAGAGGAGGAAGGAAGGAAGGAAGGAAGGAAGGAAGGAAGACAGGAAGACAGGAAGACAGGAAGAAAGACAGGAAGGCAGGCAGGAAGGAAGGGCAGAGCCTGTTCATCAGGGCTGGGTGGCATCTGAGCCTCTGCATTTCTAGGCAACTCCTGGGTGAGGCCAGTGCTGTTGCTGGCCTGAAAAATCTCCACAGCCGGCAGCTGGGGGTAGAGACTCACTTGCAGACAGAGGCCTCATCTCAGTTGTGGGGAGCTGATTCCTGAAACTGGGTCTCTCTGGGGCACACCAGGAAGAGATAGGAGAGGAACTGGTATAACCGTCACCACTTGATTGGGATTGTTGGCTAACTTGGGATGCTTCCAGCACCCCCTGGAATAGCATTATCTCCACCATACAAATGAGAACCAAGACTTGGATGTAGCCGAGGCGTGGTGACTGGTGCTTGTAATCCCAGCACTCAAGAGACTGAGGCAGAAAGATTGCTGTGAATCTGAGGCGATAGTGAGTTCAAAGCATTCTGGGAACAAAGAAAGAAAACAGGTCTTGGATGCTAAGTGATTTGCTTAGGGTCACAAGTGCAGGTGGCTTAGGTGGACCAGGGCAGGGATGTGACTCTCTAAGCTTGTCACCTTCTCTTCTCCAGAGGCAGTGGCAGGAGCCTGAGGAGGAGGCAGAACACCTCCCTTCTCTACACTTGCCTTGCCCACTTGCACAGTGGGAGGTCTGGACACACATGACCTCCAGCTTCCCTCCCCAACCTCCTGCTGGAGCACGCTGAGCTGTCCTCGCTGGCTCAGCCTCCCTTGGCTGCATCCCCACTGGCTTCCAGAAGTGGTGCTGACATTCTGGATGCACACGTATCCATTTCGAGCTAGGAATCAGGGGAACTGCTGGACAAGCTATCTACCCAACAGTGGGCAGAGCTCTGGAGGGTGACCAGAATAAAACCCAGCACTTGGGCCAGGCAGAACGTTCCTCCACACTCCAGAGACAAGCCTTTCAGCGGCTCTGCAGGTAGAGACAGCCACTTGCGTCAGCTCTAAGTCATGTGGGATCCAGTTTCACCTGGAGTTCAGTCTGGGAGACTTAACCTCACAGGGCCTGAGAGCTGGAGGGATCTGGTTGTTGGAAGAGAAGTGGCATTTCTCAAATGGGCTCACAAGCACCTTGGGACATGTATACCAGAGGTTAGAACCAGGTAGGATTTCTGAAGAGCAACTGGCCAGAGCTAAAATCTTGGGGCTGAAATTCCAGGTCTGCCCCTCCCTAGTGTGTGAGCTTTGACAAATAATTTTATCTCCTTGTGCCTCAGTTTCCTTACCTGCAAAATGTGGCCCATGTTAACGGTTCTGTTGTAGGGCTGTGAAAAGGCCTTGTAACAGTGCCTGACATAAGCCATCCCATAAGTCAGATCCATCTCATTGATCCATTGCTTATCATGACTCTCAATGGCTGGAATAGCATTCAGGATTCACTAAATATGCATGAATATTTATATGGTGATTGGCTTAGAAACTTCTAGAGGAGTGATTATTTCAAAATTTCCTTTCTTTCTCCTTTTTTTTTTTTTAAAGACAGGGTGTTATTAAGTAGACCAGGCTGGCCTTGAACTCACACAGCCTCTTGCCACAGCCTTTCAAGTACTGGGATTACAGATGTGTACCATCATACCTAGCCTAAGAGGGATGCTTTTCAAACTGTATTCCAAGGAACCTGGAATGCCAGCAGTCACTGAGTGACAGGACAGAGGAGAAACAGGGGAGGAGGGTCAGCCTCTTCCCCTGCCAGTAGGCTTCGTCATTTAATAAGACTTTACCCCTATTGTGTGTGGTGCTGGGGACTGAACCCAAGGTCTCACATATGCTAATTAGATACTGTACTCTGGGTAACATCCCCAAGGCTCATTATTTGTGTGTGTGTGTTTTGTTTTGGAGTTGAGGACGGAACCTGGGGTTTTGTGCACATTAGCACAAA